ACCCATCATATTTTCTCAAAACAACGCATAATATTTCACGGAATCATTGATTTCTACCGCCTGCTCTGGTACTATTCACACAGGTTGACGAATGACTGGATATGTCTGTAAGTGGGCCGCTGTCGTGTGACAGACTATCGGCATTTGGGAGGCGGCTCGTTTCTACCAAGGCAATAGCTCGCGGCCGAGAAGAAGAAAACACTTCGATGTGCTGAAGGGGGTGTGTGACGGGGGGCGGGTACTGAAAATGAAATGGCAATCAAAAGTGATCAACCGTTTCGTAAGATCGTCTGTATTGTCTCAGACGACGTGTCTGGAGTTGATGGGTTCCAGGTGGTCGGTGGGTAATGCTGATCTTGGTATGTGCCGGATCTCGACAACACACACTACGAAGAAGCTCCTGTTCTTAGACGGCGTGGAAGTCATGGCCAATTGGGAGTGCGTTAGTAGTCTCTGTCCAAGCTTAACATACGACGAAGAAATCCCAAGAATGGGGAGTCTTCTCCATCACAAGCCCGGTATCAATAGAGCCATTGGCATTGACACAGGGACGCATACATTCAAACCGAGACAACGTGTCGTTCGTCAACCTGGATCTGGCATTCTAGTTTTCCCGGCCTCCTCCACATCCAATATCCACCGGCCTATTCTGCGCTGGGATTAGGAACGCGGGACGATTACACATTTGACAGGATAGTGATGAGCCGGGCGCTTACGCAGTGAAACAGGCAGGCCCTCTTTCTCGGATGCAGACCTACCTCCTCCCGCCACTTTGTATCCGTGCTGTGTGCTTGTTCATATCAAATGTACCTACAAGCTACATATGAGACAGAATGGCGGAAATTAAAGACCTTGAAGGCCTTCAGCCTCTTGGTCAGCGGTAATGAATTGGCGGTGCGGATGGATCAAGTCCAATGTGATACGCACGTCCAAAGAGGAGCGCGCCCTACTAGTGGCGTTTCATGCGGTTTCAACCACGGTTTCCAGGGACCGGGCCCCCAATGGCACCTGGGGGAAAACTTGGCTCGAAACCGAATAATCATGGCGAGAGCCACGCACTATTTGGCCCTGTGACTGGTGGCCGCGCGAGGGACCAAGCAATGCGGATGGATCTAGCGTGCGCACGCTGCAGGCGTGAGCTGAGAGGAGGCCATCTGAAACATGCAAATGCTTAAGTTTTTGTGCCTGCCGATTCATTGCTTGAAACGATGTTGCTATTGCCGGGCAAATGAGTGACCTCCTGGTACTCAAGGGGTCTGTCTGTCCCTCACTGCGCTTCATGCCACTCCTCTTTTTTTACAATGCCTTGTGCTACATTCATCAAGTACCCTCGCCGGTGGCAGAAGGAAGGAAGCAAACAAGGTAAGTAAAAAGACATCTGAGGTTCAGCTGGCTGTGGGTCGTTCCTCGAGTACAACGGTTTGGTGGAGGCAGAGTCGACTTGCTTCTGGGGCGCAAGAACCGACGGTCTGTCAATATTCCCCCGTTGGTCATGAATACGACGTTCATTTCGATTCACCAGAGCTGTGAGTCTTACAAGTTGTTGCGCCACGAAATGGGTGGTGTGGATTGAGGCTATTGGCCTGGTTTGGGAGATGGATCGGTAAGGATGGTGGCGTGACCCCTGGCAGGGCACCACACCAGGGCAGGGCATGGTTAGCCACAGAGTAGATGAAACGGGTCAGTCAGAGGGCAGAGAATGTTGGTTCCAGCCCGGCAAGGATTGCTGAGCTGCTGGCCAGCCTCCAGACGAGAGAGCAGAGAGTAATCAATACCTAGCGATTGGTATCTGGCTTAGAGACGATGTTCTGATGAAGCAGACGCACCTAAAGTTGGCTTTCTCGCGTGCACAAAGGGGGAAGGCGTATGTCCGTAATCAGCTGAGCTGAGAACAAGTGCTGTCATCCAACCTTCCCTACCAATGCGAGAAGGGAAGCTGAGCATACCCGGAGAACGAGTAGAACGAGCCTCGCCGCATGTACAATAGGACAATCATGGAAACCACCCATTCGCTTAGACGCCAACAGATTATGCACACCGTGGTCTGCTGGCTGCTGGCTGAATGTGATTGGCGCATAATACTACAACACGATATTTAACATCCAGGTTAGGTACATGTGCGTATATACGCACAGACACACACAGAGACAGCGAGAAGAAACAAGTGATACCCCAGCCCACGGCTGATGGTAGAAGATCTCTGTCAACGGGCGACCTTTAGTTGAAGGTATTAGCTGGGCCTGGGTGGTCCGTGTGGTGGGCCCATATTACACTCATTCCCTGATAGACACAGCTGGTTGGTCTCGGGGGTTAGAGGTGGGTGGGTAATGAACGACACGTCTCTATTGCTCATGTTCTTCAGCGAAGACTAGAACCGCAGCCACGACACCATCTGGAGTGTGCATTCTGTCTCATCACAGTCCGTGCCCAAAAGCCAGTGAATTGGCAGCTGCCCCTACGACGCAGGAAGCGCCTCTGACATGACATCAGCCGAGTTGCCATGAAAGGAGCTGTAATACCTTACTGCTTTACTATGAATATACACTATGGGGGCTGTTACCATCGGCTTGAAACCCTCCACAGGCTACGACTTTAGTCGACACGAGTCGGGGCTTATAATTACCTGTGCTGTGATGAGTGTAATCATAGTTGTTTCCTCGCCTTCGATCCCAGCGCTGCCAGCCATGCCTGGATTAGCAGTTCGCACTCCCTACACAGCAGTAATTGCGAATTATACCATGGAACAGCAAAGGTTGCCTCCCAATCGCCGCCGTCGACAGTTGCAGCGAAGGAAGGATTGATACCTAGCCCACGCCGGGAAGCACGCCCAGGGCACGAGAAGGGCTGGGCCGGGCAGGGGTTGAGACACCAGCAGGGCGATTACAGGCCTCCTCGGCGAGGTACTGGCAGGTACCTGTCTAAGGACAGGTTGCCTACCCCACCAGGACCCCAGCTCCAAACCAGACCCCATCGAGAGTCCTCACACAAGAGAAGCCCACTAAAACACTCTTCGAACAGTGGAGAGAGCCCCTGAGCGACATCATTACGAGGAGCTAAGGGAGCACCTAATATCAATGATTAGCCTAGGTCTTGCTGATGAAGAACTCCCATGGGCGTCACGCTTTGGAGAAGATTGATCGGGTTCACATCATCACCGTCCGCGCCCTAAGGTTGACGACACTGAGTCAATCTTGTTGCGGCCTAGCTTCCATAAGCCTAAAGGCACCAGCACTGGCAGCAATGGATTTGATATCAAGTTTGCCTTCTTTGTGGCCGCTAGCTCTAGGAGGGTTGGAGATTGGTCCCTAGCTTGATTAGTTGACCTGAGCTATATCCATTGCTTCCGTGCTGTATCAAAGGTGATGGAGCCATGAGCCGCATCATTTTCCCACGAGCGTTGGGGTGCTTTCTTCATCAATTGAAAGAACTGCGATAACACGTGCTGGCCACCCTGGCATCAGCTTCAAGTCTGTTTTCCTCAACGGGGCAGCTGCTTGTAGAGGAAGTGCCCCGACAAACATGGCCATGATACGACTCGTAGAATTAGCAGCTCCATAGTTCAATACACAGCCAACGCCTGTGGGTTGAGAGACGTACACGTTGGGACTTGAGAAGCATCGGGTGTGATTTGCCCAGGTAAACCATCTGGGGTTGCTGGCCCTGCAGACGGAATGCGCCGAGTCTGACTTGAATGCATTCGGTCAGGATACAGCCAGACATGCATAGCGAAGTGTACATAAGGTACGTAACATGCGTGCGTGGATGGGCAGGATAATCTTGCTGCTCCCCGCGACGAAACAGCGAGATGATGGCTGAACCGTTGTGCAACATTGGTAAAATTACCATCTCCCTGCCTAGCTTCTGACCCAGGTGTTTCTGAGTGCAGCTGGGCCAGAGGCGGCCGGCAATGGATGGATCTTGATGCGGAGTCGGGGATTATTTGCCCTTGGCCCTACTACTGCAGAGGCGTATGTACAGGGCAGGCGAGATGGATTGAGTTGCTGTCGAATAGTCCGTGACCAGAACAGCATCTGGCCGCCATGGATGCTTCTTTTGTTCCTTGCTGGGCGAGCCTCCGTCGGAAGCCTGGTCCTTCCTTCCTAGCAGCCAACTCAATTCAAGCCACCCATTTCGCCGGTTGCCATGTGTGGAAGTACCTCTTCTGTAGCGGTTCATGGAGGGGCGGTGGCCTATGATCTGTGGCTGGCCTGGTGCATTATTAGCACGGCGCAGACACCTGGTAAAATGGGAGCCACTAGCGACTATGCTAGCCTGGGTAAGACCGCTGTCGATGGTGCGGGCCCAGTCAAGCCAGGTACACATCTGTACTCGCTGCTTGTACTCCAGGTACCTCCACCCGCTGCCCCTCGACCAGGCGGTGCCAATCCCCGTCCCGCTCCAGCAGCTTGGCCAACACCGTCTCGGCCTGGACCATCCTCTCAACACCCAATCATCCGCTCATTGGATGTGTGATTCGCAGCTGGATTGTGTGGGAGTGCCCTGACTCTTTTTTTTTTTATCATCTCTTAATCTTTTTGGTGGTTCTTGCGGCAAAGCAACTCGACTGGCTTACTCAAGTCCCAATCTTGTGTATTTCATGACATGTGCTTCGTTTCTTCCTTGATGCTTCCATCCGAACCTCATCCCTCCTCGCCCGCTCGTGCCCTCCACGCCTGAGCATCACCTCGTCGGCAGTCTGCGTCTTCGCCTCGCTCAACCCTACCATCGTGCTCTCCGCCCCCGTCGCTCGCTTATCCCCCGGTCTGGCAGCCCGTCTGGATTGAAACACTATCGATGGTCCCGAATCTTCGCCGCTGTACATTTCCCCTGCCAACGCATACCTAGCCACTCCAACCGACGGGCACTCTATCTCGACTGCGCGAGAGCGTCTCCTCCAACCTTCCTGCGTTCCCTCTCCATCTTCGCTGATATAGGAGACCCTACGTCGCACTTCCATACCAATAGGCCGGCATCGCTGAGCGACGCCACGGTTGCCCGCCATGGCCGCCATCATTGACGAGTATCTCGACACCACCATGGAGCAGGAAGATGTGTTTCCATGTAAGGGTTGCGGAGAGGTAAGCTATTCCGTGCATTAATTTACACTCGGTCCCGAGATCTGAATCACCTTCATACAAGAGTTGGCGAAAGTGGGGGTTGTTGCTTGCGGGACTGGACATAGACTGACTTCCATGGCAGATTCTCGAGGAAGGCAAAGCATACGAGCTTGGTAAGTAACCACTGTTCCCTAATCTAGTCTTGGTCATTCCCGCCACGGAGCCCTCTCACACCTCTCCGAGCTACTTTCTCAAACAAGAGAGCCGGAGCATGACCCTCAAAACTCCTGGGAGTCTGCCTCACAGACCTCGTTTGGTGTCGCGAGCCCCGCGCATGTCAACTGCTCCCAGTTGCGGACTGGTGTGTCCCTTTGTCGCTTGACCATGTACTGATCGTCCTCGTTCACAGCCGGTAACCGATGGCATCTCGACTGTTTCCGCTGCAACACCTGCCACACGCTCCTCGACTCCGACGCAAACCTGCTCCTCCTCGGCGATGGCTCGCTCATTTGCAGCAACTGCACATACAGTTGCAGTGCCTGTGGCAACAAGATTGAGGATCTGGCCATTCTCACTGGTGACCAGGCTTTCTGTTCCACTTGCTTCCGCTGCCGCAACTGCAAACGCAAGATTGAAAACCTGAGATACGCAAGGACATCGCTGGGAATATTCTGCATGGGCTGCCACGAAACTATCATTGCTAAGAAGCGGAAGAAATCGAAGGCTGCGGCATCCGCTAAGAGTAGGGAGAAGGAATCTCCCATGATCACCGAGAAGTCGCTCCCAGCGCTTCCCCCTAACGAAATCCCCAAAGGCGCTTTCTCCAATGACAAGGTCGATCCTGATTCCGATACGCCGACGGAAATTTCACCCAGACCGCGCCAAGGCCACCGATCTACCACGTCCGCTTCACGAGATAGCTCCCGACCCGCCAGATCTCCCGAGCGTTCGGGGAAGACAGATGGTCTAGGCCTTTCTGGAAACACCTATCGAAGCAACAGGAGCTCTACGTTGACGGGCAGCGATTCAACGGAGAAAGATGACGGGTTCTTCATTCCCGTGGCTCTAGATCCTAGTCCGGCACCAACTCCAAATTCGATCAATAACGATGGTACAAAGAGGAAGGACTATTTCAATCTCCCCAAGTCGTCCTTTGCAGACAAGCGGAATGACTCCCCATCCTCGACACCCCACATCGCCTTTCAGAACAAGGGTAGACAGCAGTCTACAGATCGTGACTTAACATCAGCTCAAACCCCGACATCGAAGCTTTCCCAACCCTCGAGGTCAGACCAACACTCATCTCCTCCGAGAGAAGATAAACAACAGAGAGCTGCCGTACGATCTCAAACCAACATTGATGATAGCCAAGGCCAGACGCCCAAGGGCAGGAAGGCGGCTACTTCTTCCAGCAGCAGTTCTTCATCAATTCATGACGGTGGCGTAGAAGTGAAAGCCAATAACTCTACCTCACAATCAGAAGTACGCAAGAATGGGGAACCTGGCCTTCCGCCTTCACGATTCTCCCAAGATACGAGAAAGCCAGAGGCGGACGACAGGAGAGGGTCAGGAGACTCGAACCCGAAATCCGGCAGCCGGCCTGAGACTGGGAAAGCAGCCACTCGTAAAGATAGCTCCCCTCCCTCAGCTAGGAATAGTAAGTTCAATCCTTTTTTTCCAGTGCCTGGACTTGGCTCTTTTTACTGACTTGCATGGTACAGCTGCACCAACTACAAAGGCTGGCCCGCAACGTAGAGAGTCAGGAAATGAGGATGTTCCTCCACCAAGAGTCCCCCCTCCACGGCTCAAAGCTGCCGACCAAAGCAGTTCTCGAACCGACTATGCTAGCCCACGGGGTCCACCACCTTCGTTGGCTGGGAAGCCTGGTGCAGGCTCGAAAGATGAACAGGGATCACCTAAACCGTCTCCAAAGCTTCCTAGATGGAGTAACGGCGGCGATTTCACGATGGACGAGGATATGGCCAGAATACTCGGAACCGATGAGCCTTCCTCCAACATTTTGCGTCGGGCGTCCAATGTCGCCAGACACGGCCGTACCAACAGTATTGACTCGAACCAAACACCAACTCGAGGAAGTCACACTCGAAGCATCAGTGAAACAACTCGGGGTACCGCCTCGCCCCAATGGCCCAAAGCTCCTGTTCATGAGGAACGGGGTTGGGCATCACCCGATTTGATGAGCCCGGTGTCGGTCTCGTCGCCCGATGATACCACCATTTTGAGACGCCAATTGCGGACATCCGAGCAACGCGTTGCTGAGCTTGAGAAGCAGTTCAATACAGAAAAGGATCTTCAGAATCTTGACAGGAAACTACTTGAGAAGAGGAAGACAGTTTCCGTTTTAGACACTCAAACTGAGATCATGATTCGACAGCTCGAGGTGCTCGCCGGCTATGTTGAAAGGGCAAAGGACTCTAAAAAACCGATCGACCCTCGTGAATTAGAAGATTCAGCTATCAAGGACTTTGTGCAGAAGCTTGAGGAAGTCAAGATGGTCCTGGCAGAAAGCATCGAGCAACTCCACGAGGAGCGAGATCGTTTGGTGGAAGAAAGAGATCAGGCGTCAGCTGACAGGGACCATGCTCTCATGGAATTTGAACAGCTTTCTTCGAAGAACGCCCAGTTGGCTGAGATGAACAATGATATGACGCACCAGCTGCAAGAAAAGTTCAGAAGCCAGGTGGCCGATGGCAAGTCAAGCAACGGCCTAGGCATCTATGGCGAGAACAAGGCAGCAACCGCATCCTCGATCAATCTCGATAATGCCAGCATGACGACTGGACACACCCTGGTTGGTGATGACGATCAGATTGTGGAGAACGGACCCATAGCGGTACCAATCCGTAAGGGCCAGGTTAAGAAGTTCAACTGGAAGAAAGGCTCAAAGGGATTGGCCCAGAACGTCGCCAAGGGTGTTAGAGGTGCTGTGGTTGCATTCCAAAACGACCGTGGTGAGCGTATTCAACAAGTTGGGCCCGGGGCCATGGGTCCAGGGGATATTGGTATTCCCTACAACAATACTATGGCTCCTCCCGAGCCATCAACTACGCCTGCGCCAATGATGCCGCAGCAGCAAGGCAGGCAACCGAAGCATCCCCAACAAGGATTCGGTTTCTTCAGCAAGAAGGCATCCGCTGTTCCAAAGTCAGCCTCTGCCAACAGCATGCCAGCGGCCGTTACACCCGAAGCTCCTTCGACGCTCTTTGGCTCCGACTTGTCTGAGCGAGCTGATTGGGAGCGTCGTCAGATACCCAGCGTGGTGACTCGCTGTATCGAAGAAGTTGAGCTCCGAGGTGTGGACCAGGAGGGCATCTATCGAAAGACTGGAGGCAACTCCCAAGTCAACATGATCAAGGATGGCTTCGAGAGGAGCGAGAATTTTGATATTTCAGATCCCGATTGGGATATCACAGCCGTCACCAGTGTTTTGAAACAATACTTTAGGAAGTTGCCAATCCCGCTTCTTACTTTCGAAGTATATGACAGAATTCTGGAATCAACTTGTACGTATACATACACGCTTCAGAACTTTGTACTCCAAACTAACGTCCCCTAGCAATTGTTGACCCATCGGAGCGCTGTGAACATTTGCGCCGGACTATTGCCTCCATGCCTGAGAAACACCGCGACTGCCTTGAGTTTCTCATGTTCCATCTCGATCGTGTTGCTCAACGCCAGTCTGAAAACTTGGTAAGCCTATGAGTCCATAACCTCGATTCACTTTCACACCGCTGACTCGTCAAATCAGATGACTCCCAAGAACTTGGCTGTTGTCTTCGCCCCCACAATTATGTTCGATCGCAGTATCGAGAGAGAAATGACAGACATGCACTCCAAGAACCTCGCAGTGCAGTTCATCATTGAGAATAGCCGCAACATCTTTGTTGATTAGTTGCCGTGTCGGCTGCTTCTGGATATTCCAACCCCATCACACAAAGCACGCTCCTGAAGTGAAAGAAATAGCAGGAAATCCGTGCCGACTTTCGCAGAATGCCAACATCGAAATGGCGGCTAGAGAGTCTGGATCCTCATTTGCTTCGCGTCCTGCGGGCTAACATAATGCCCGCTGTCTCCTTGTGTCTTCGCAGAACAAGGGCGATGACTTTGGAGATTTTATGGGGCCCTCCAAAGGGTTTGGCAGGGTCCCTTTTTCATGTGAACGAGTTTTTCACCTGCTGTTATGAAGAAAGCCGGGGCTTGGAATGGCCCAAGTGTATCATATCTGCTGCTTGGCCAGTTCACGTCGGCTCTTGACCCGATTGCTTTCTACCCCTTGTTCATCTTTCACATCATTTTGTTAGCCTCCTTCTATATCCATAACCCCTCCCACCTTATATACCATCTCATGGCTTTGGAGTTTGAATTGGTTGCGTTGATTAAAAGGCAGGGAACCTGTTTGCCCTCCTGGAAAGGCGGAAAGGGTGGTATTTTTTATTTTCTACGTTGACGATAGCTACTGTTTGAATTCACCTTGCTTCTTGTTGTTCTGGTCTTTCTCAATGCGTCTTGTCTATATGCAATGTAGTATACTGCGGATATAGGATGGCGACATGTTTTGGGACGGTCTAGCTGTTGAGAAGGTTTATGCTTATGATGGGATGTGGACGCTGTAATGCAATATCATAAATTGACTGATCTCCTAAGATTGAAGTGAAGCTTTGCGTGATTCTGCCTGTACTGTCATGCAACTTGGACTGTCCCCTTGAGACTTTGGATACCAGATACTAGTGTCTTGGGCTCCGTTGGAAAGTGTTACAGGATAAAATATTATTGCAATGTGATATATATCATACACTCAAACCACTCGAACCACTAAGCTACAGTATACAATCAACTCATCCCAGCGCCGTATTATATATATATACTGTTTTTACCTATGTCCATCCATAACCAATGCCCAGTGCCGAAAACAAATAAAACGCCAATGCTTTGCCCTGACCCTTTTTGTCCCTCCCGCAAAACCACGAGCACGCACCTTAAGCAAGGGAAACGCCGCCACTCTCGCGCTGCCTCTTAATAATGTAGTACGTGATCAGGCTCTTTGGATCCTCCTTGATGTCCTTGAGGGAGTCCCAGAATCGCTCCTCGCCCGCGGACGCATGCAGCGCGACGCAGAGCTGGACCGCGTCCATGCGGACGCCAGAGTCGGTCGACTCCAAACATCGACGGGTGAGCTCCACGAGCAGCGCCAGCTCCGAGTCGGAGAGGACGACTTCCTCCTGCTTCTCCAGCATGGCCTTCAGGACGTGGAGGCCTGTGCTAAGGGCGCGGCAGCCCTCTGGGGTGCTGTCGTCCCAGCCCTGCAGCTTCCTGCCGAGGACGACGACGATCTCGGGGGGGTCGCCGAGGGTGACGAGTTCGTCGGCCAGCAGCTCCAGGCCGCTGATGATGTGGGCACGTCCCTCGTACCTGCTTCGAGTCTCGAGGAGGGACTCGAGGCACTTGGATACGTGGGGCTTGAAGTTGTCCCGCTCTCTCTTAAGGAGGAGCTTGATGGTGGTGAGAACCTGTGCCTTGACGTCCTGCGCCTTGTCCGACGGCATCGTCGACAGAGGGTCCTCGAGGAACTGAAAGAGGCCGAGCAGTAAAGCTTGGAACTTGTCGTCCGTGAAAACCGTCTTGCTGTCGCGTAGGAGGCTCTGCAACTTGCGGAAGCCATGAACCTCTAGCGACTTGAGCTTGATCTTGGAGATTCCGCTGTCCAGGAGGCGTGCGTTTTTGTTGGCCTTGTCTAGCGAATCAGCATCGTCGGCTTCTTTGGCCTGGCCGTTGGAATGAGATAGATTCGCGGCATCCTCGTTCACGGGCTTGTCCTCGAGAACTGAGCCAGTGAATACTGGTTTCGGCTCTTGTTGGTCCTCGATAAAGGGATCTTCGTAGACTTTCACTGGCTGTGGGGTCTCATCTGAGGGTGAATGAATTTGGACAGGTGCCTCGACGGGAGTTTCAGGGAGTGCTTCAACATGTGGTTTTACGAGCTCCTCTTCGAGTTTGTTGGCTTGTTGTGCGGTAGTTGCCTGTGGGTGGGGGATTTGAGGAACAACGAGCGTCAGGTCCTCGTTCAGTTTCGCGGCAGGGCTGCTTGATAAGAGTGCTGACTGTGTGTTCTTAAGCCGAGTCGGACTGACTCTATTCGAAGCTACAGATCTGGGTCGTGCAACAGGGGAGGTTATGCTCGACTCGCTGGCGTGCGAGGCGTGTCCAGGCCGGGTCCTTTGGGCCGTCCTTCTAGGTGTCGTCTCCTTAGGTTTGGGTGCCACCTTAGCCTTGAGGGTCCTGGGGCTCTCGGCTTCGATGTGCTCGCCACGATCTCGAACCGAGTAAGGGCCAGCCGTCGCGGGTCGAGGAGCCACTTCTGGTCGCTTCCTTGTTGGGCGCACGGGGGCGACTGACATCGAACTAGCATTAACAGAGACTGTTCCAGCTTCAGGGCGTGCCCTACTCCCTGAAGGCTTCGATGAAGAAGCGCCACTTGGTGGCTTGGGGTCCGACACTTTCCTTGCATGTGAAATATGAGCCATGGCAGATCCTGGTCGGGCAGGCAAGCCCTTGGCTGCAAGCGTCGCCTTCTTCTGTGCCATCATCGTTTCCCGGAGGCTTGGTTTGCTGGCGGTCATAGTGCTCCTGGATAACCCCAGTCCTGGTCGAGCGGGCGCGTCTTCCTTCTTAGGGGCGTTAGGATTGCTAGGATCCTTGTTCAGAAGCTTTTGGGCTGTTGCGTCCAGATCTTCCATGATTCTGTCGGGGATTAGATGTTGTTCATTGGACCCAGAAAAACAAGGATCCAAGGGAAGAGACTTACACATCGGCTCGCTGAGGCCAAATGCCCCAAAATGCCCAAAACACTGATCGCGTCTTCTCTCTGACCGCAGGGTTTGGATCGCCGAGTCCCTTCTTGATACATTTCTCAATTAGGTCAACTCCGCCTGTGTGCTCGACATGGCTCTTGTGGTTGGCTTCTTTCTTCAACATGGTCTTTAGCCAGCCGGTCGCATACGTGCGAGGAGCCACGTTCTTGTCTTGAAACGCGATCCAGATATGCTGCATCAGCCTCTGGCTATAGGTCACATTGCTTAGAATGGTGTCGACAGTTGTGTTTGCCAGTTGGGAACTGATCTTCTTGGTTCCGGCGGACAGCTTGACAAATGTTTGCATGAGAAGCTCTACCATTGGGTCCATGGCAGGACCAAAGGCAACAGCAATATCCTGAACCAGCCCACAACCCTCCTTTGATAGACTGGTTCTCAACGAGGTTATAGCTTTGATTATGCCGTCCAGCATTCCACGTAGGCCTGCGAGAAAGGTATCGGGGAAGTCGGAAGTCGCATTGCCAGCATTGAGTCGTCGCAATGTGACCATACTCTCTTCTCTCTTGATCCAGTTCTGTTCCGACTCCCTGCCCTCAAAGAACCACGCCATTCCCTTGAAGATATCGTCAAGTTCGCGATTCGTGTTGACGTATTGAGGTTCAATGTTCTCGGCCCTGGTATCGACGGCGGGAGTGATTGGTCGTTCGCTTGACATGGATGATACGCTCGCGGCCAATACAGGTCGGGCGGCGGGCGCAGCATTGGCGGGAGTCTCTGGACGGGCGCCGGTTGGGGCCAGTTCCTTAACAATAGCTTGCTCGATCGCAGGTCGGACTTTGAAGTTTTTCAGTTGTCGCTTCAGATCAGACTTTGCTGTGTTTGGTGCATTCCTATTCAGACCCGTATCAGTCCTGTCGATCCTCGGAACGTGATAATTTGAAAGGGGGCATCTCACCTGAAAAGTTCAATGACGGTGCTCTTGGCAACATCTCGAACCATGCCATCGGCATCTTCCAATAAATCCATAAGCAACGGAACGTAACTACGGAACTGGAGACCTTGCTCCTGGTGTGTCTTGTCGAAAGTCAGGACCAGAGTCGCATGTCAATTCACTTCAGGGGATGACACATACCTGCAGCAGCCACTGCATGGCTGATTCCTTTGCGCGGGGATTCTTGCCGGTCATGGCAGAATTGCGGATGAAGCGCTCAACATCCCCGGGTTGAACGCTGTACAATGTGTTGAGCGCCTGCATTGCAGTGGCCCGGTACTTGTCCTTCTGGTCGCCCAGCTTCTCGATGATCAGGGGTAGAGTGCGAGCAGCCTCCTTGTTGAGAAACTTGGGCTCCTGGCGGGACAGCCTGGTTAGGAGGTGGTTGAGGGCAGTGAAACCGACATTGACGATCGCATTATGCTGGGAGCTGGCGGCGGCGCGAAGTCCGTCGAAGAGTAGGGGGACGCAGGTTTCAGGGACATTATGCTGTTTGATGCCCGACTTGATGTTGTTCACATACTGGACCTTTTTGTCGAGGATTATGTCGCTATGGAGGATGGTCAGAAGCTCTGCGGCCTGCTCCTCGGTCACCTTGTTGTCGGCCATCGACGTCTAGATATCATCCCGCGTTAGCAACAAGCTCAAGAGCACAACGGTCGCAATGCGAACCCCGCAATCGATCAAGGAATGAATAGATCGACATGACAAGTGCGATGTGGACGGGACAGGTGAGGGACCAATGACTCGGGAGAAGAGGGGAGAAGAGGGGAGAAAATGTGAAGAAAATAGGAGTCGGGCTCCCCTAATCGGTCGCGGGGACCGCGCAAGAGATGTTTGGCAGCAACATACAGATTTCAGTGAGAGCGCGATCGATCGATTTCAAGACAAATTCAGGAGCCTAGGCAAAGAAAACGAAGCGGTTGCTGTAGCAAGTATATCATTTGGGGGGTATTAGCGATAGCTTGTTGCGCGCTGCCAAAAAGACAAAAACAAGAAGATGGAAGACGATTCGGCTATTCTGTGCAGGAGAATGATGCTGGAAATTGGACAAGCGACTGAGGTAATGCAATGGAGTGACGCGCGAAAACA